GAGGAGTGCAAGAGTTAAAATGAAAAGAATTAACAATATTAACTGATGGTACATGGAAGGTATTGCAATCATTGTAATGTCACGAAGAGTATGATATTTTGAGTGTGACTGATGATCTGTTGGGTAAATCTTCACTCAATTCACAATAAAAAGTTCAAAAATAAAAACCAACAACACCCCACTAGATCTTGAAATATTCTTTTTGACAATTCAACACCATTCCTCTTCAATTTATCATTCCTGGATAGTAAATCATATGACTGTCTGATGAATCCAGATATGTTGCTGTTAAATGTCACAGAGGCGATTCCAACTCATAGCATCTTTCTAGGGTTTCCGAGGAGCAGCTGGTGGGTTTGAACTACCAACCTTGTGGTGTGCAGTCCAGTGCTGACCCTATAATACCACATCAAAAATCCAGATATAAAAGTATTCAAAGTAAAACAAGCCTATAAATCTTAAAATATGGAACCAGAGATACTAGCTTGAAAAAAACAACAAAACAAAGTAAAAATAGGGAATAATGTAGTTACAGAACTTACAAATGAAGACGATTTCAAGAAGAAAAAAAAATTTAAATTAGGCTTCTTTTTAACGTTAAACTTAACACTTAGTCCTACCCTTAGCCTAACACCTATACATAACACTAATGCTAGTGGCTAACCACAATCCTAATACTAAAGCGAATATATATGTATATATAATAACATATACAAACTCTTTAGGATTAACAGTCCTTCTTATAAGTCAGCTTAGTTACTGGACTATCAACAGGCAACATTGGTCAACTTGCAAGCTCAATATATGATTTCAAAAAGTGAAGTATCTAGACAAGATTTGTTTTTTTGTTTTTCCCTTTAAAATGTCTCCACAAAACAGGAAATAATACACTTAAATAATGAAGACACCAGCAATTCACAAAGACCTAGAATGGTTAGGAATCCTGATGTAGCACCATAGGAAAAACACTGGATCACAAGGACAGTTTGAACTGCAAAGTCGGTGTTCAAAGCCACCAACCACACCTTGGAAACCCTATTCAGGGTTGCTATAAATTGGACTCTACTCAACAGCACTTAAGAACAAAATAGTTAGAAGACATTCTGTACAACATCTATTTTGTGCAGAGTTAGCACCCATTGTTGTTATGTGCCATGGAGTCGATCCCAACTCATAGCAACCCTGTACAGGGTTTCCAAGGCTGTAAATCTTTACAGGGACAGAAAGCCTCATCTTTCTCCCGCGGAACCGCTGGTAGTTTTGAACTGCTGACCCTAAGGTCAGCAGCCCGATTCATAACCACTACACTACCACAGCTCCTTCAGCACCCATTAGAATCCTTAAGAAATTATTTTTTGAATTTCATTATCATCTTTTTTTAATCATCTAAGTTTAAAAACAAAAACAAAAAACCAAGTTATTCACAAAGGGAATCATATAATAATAAGAAAAAAAATGCATTTGTCTTCTTGTTGTTGTGAAGTATCATTGAGTCAGTTCCAACCCATAGCGAACCTATATAGGATTTCTGAGGAGCAACTAGTGAACTTGAACCACCAACCTTGTGGTTCAAACCAACTTTGCAATCCAGCGCATTAACCCAGAGCACCACACCAGGATTCCATATACGTACATATATACATATATATGGAGTCCTGGAGTGGCGCTGTAGGATAAGCACTCAACCTCAAAACTTGGTTTGAATCACAAGGTTGGTAGTTCAAACTTACCAACTGCTTCTTAAAAAACCTATACAAGATCGCTATGAGTCAGAATCAACTCAATGGCACTTAAAAACAATATATATGGGTGAGGATGCATGGACGGGAGGGTAACTATGACAACGAACTTGATGGATGATGGAATGAGTGTAAAGCTGATGTTCTCCCATGTAGACTATCACACAATTCACAATAAAAACATTAAAAAAAACACAATATATATATATATAGTAGGTAGCAAGCAAGGGGTTAAAGCATCTGTATTGGTCAGTTTCTCCCCTAGAGAAGAGCCAACTCTAGACCAACTTATTTTTTACAATTGGTGAAACAAATGAAATTTTTCAAAATTTCTTCCATATTAAAGTAAAGTCTTTATAATACAAACAATGACCGTTCACATGGATGGATCCTGAAACTACCAATGAGAAAAACTCCAGTTGATCGTGACTATAAGAATATGTTATGATTAAGTGGCGTGGAGTCCGATCCCTAGAAACCCTGTGTAAGGTTTCCTAAGAACAACTGATGTGCCTGAACCGCCAACCTTGAGGATCCAAAGAGACTTTGCAGTCCAGCGCATTCATCCACAGAACCACTATGAAAAGATTATTCTGATTATTTTTATCTTTACTTCCTGTTGTCTTAACCACAGAAGTAATACTTTTTATACAGTGAGAAACAGAATTGGTGCTAAGTAATGTGAAAGAAAGGAGCTCTGGTAGCATAGTGATTACGAATCGGGCTGCGAACCTTAAGGTCAGCGGTTCGAAACTACCAGCTGCTCTGCGGAAGAAAGATGAGGCTTTCTATTCCCGTAAAGATTTACACCCTTGGAAACCCTGTAAAGGGTCGCTATGGGTCAGAACCAACTCGATGGCACTTAACAACAACAACATAAGAATATGTGCTACATTACAAAAGCTTTAGCATCTATTTGTTCATTTGTTAATAGCTGGAAAACTGAATCTAACATTGTTAGGAAATCTGGGAAAAGGAAAGCAACCTGCAAAGATTTCTATAAGAGATTTTCTCTTATTATGACCCATAAACAAAACATGTAACGTATTTTGGGAAAGAATACTCCTTAAAAATGAATAGTGTTTCTGGCAGGATATAAGTAACTTAAAAAAACAAAATCTCTACACAATAAGCATTTTAAACAATCAATTATAATACCATATTTTAATTTAATTGGGGGTCCTGGTGTGGCATTGTGGGTTAATGCCTCAGACTGCAAAGTCGTTTGAACTGCAAAGTCGGCGGTTCAAGCTCACCAGCTGCTCCTTGGAAAACCTATACAGGGTCGCTATGGGTTGGAATCGACTGGATGGCACTTAACAACAACAACAAACACCATAAAGTAGGAGTACTTTTATGGCGCTGTAGGACAAGTACTGATTGCAAAGTAGGTTTGAATGCCAGGTTAGTGATTCAAATTCACCAGTGACTCCTTGGAAACTCGATACAGGGTAGCTGTGAGTCAGAATCAACTCAACAGCACTTAACAACAACAACTTGCCATAAAGTTAAAGCCCTAAACTTAATCTACTTTCAAACAGAAAGATAAAAGTATTCTGTCCCAGGAGCCCTGACTACACTGTAAGATAAGCAATGGATTGCTAATCACAAAGTCAGCAGTTCTAATCCACTAGACACTCTGAGGGAGAAATATGAGGCTGTCTGCTTCCATAAAGATTTAGTCTCAGAAACCCTACACTGGCTCATTATGAGTCAGAATCAACTTGATGGAAGTGTGTTTGGACACCAGATTGTTGTTGTTAAGTGCTGTCGAGTATGTTCCAACTCAAAGAGATCGTGTATAGTAGCAGCTGATGATTTGAATAGATGACTTTGTGATTAACAATTCAGTGCCACACCAGGACTCCGTATACCAGATTTGTTGTTGCTGAGTGCCACTGAGTCATTTCTGACCCTGTATAGGGTTTCCAAAGAGCAGCTGCTGAGCTTGCTCACAGACCTTGTGGCTCAAACCAGATTGTTGTTGTTAAGTGCCATCAAGTTGATTCTGACCCATAGCGATCCTGTATAGGGTTTCCAAATAGCAGCTAGTGAGCTTGAACCACTGACTGCAGTTCAAATGACTTTGCAGTCTGATGCACTAGTCTACAGCACCACACCAGGACTCCAGATTAGGAGACATTAGAACAGACTATAGAAATATATAAATTCCTTGATAATCACTAATGGAATAAGAAATTAAAAATACAAGAAGTTAAAATGATAAAATCATCGTGTTCATCCCAACCTGGGAGATCTCCAATTCTGTCCCTTCCCAGATTAAGGACCAAAGCCTGCAAACTTTTAGTGCTATCCTGATATAACCATGATTTAAATTTCCATTTTCAACTATGTAAGATGGAGTTTCTGACCTAACTCTTCAACATTTTAACCCTAATAATTATATTTCAGTGTAATGGAGTTATAAAGTAATTTCATTCGGCTTGTTCTAAAGCAAGTCCTGGTTTGGTGGTATAGGTTTGGTAGGTTGTGTGCTCAAACCTACCAGCCACTTCGCAAAAACCCTATACAGGGTCACTATGAATCAGAGCAGACTCAGGGCACTTACTAAAACAACAAAACAATTCAAGGAAACATTTATATCTTTCACAATTTTAAAATAGGTTTCATTTTCCACAAAGTCACTCTTTCTGCAATCCCTACTACAACCAGATAGGTGACATACTAATTTCAAAATGTTTAGTAATAGATTTAGCCTAGAGAAAAGCTGAAGTTTGAGAAACTTTTCAACATTTTGAGTTTATAAAGGCCCCAATAAACTTCTGCAGGGGAATGAACTGGACTGCAAGGTCAGTTTAAGCCGCAAGGTCGGCAGTTCAAACTCATCAAGTCACTTCTCAGAAACCCTATACAGGGTCGCTATGAGTCGGAACCAATGAGCCAGAACCAACTCAATGGCACTTAACAGCAACAAAAAACTTCGTTTACTCTTGTAATAAACTGGTTTTTGTAACCAAAAGTCATTAATTGCTTATCTGCTTTGAGAAATTTCTTGAATCTTAACTCCCAGAAATAAAGCATACTTTTTTTTTTGTCTGATATCAAAATCCCAAACACTAAAAACTGAGATGTTAAACGTTATTATGGATTCTACTAATGGAATGATCTACCTAGGATACATAATGAACTTGGGTTCAATTATACATTTTTTGATTAATGGTTTCTCTTTACAACTGTACAGCCAAAAAAAAAAAAAAGATTCTCTAATTTATTAAAATACCAATCAAAACAGCCACATACTCGGAATGCTCTGTTCTTCTCTTCTTTCTGCTGTTTCTCCACTTCAACGTGACGGGCTAGACGAGCCAGAGTTAATGCAACTTTATCCTGCTGATGTTCAATGTGATCTTTACGCTTAATACCCTCCTGTAATTGAAAGAACAGTTTTTATCCCTTTTAACTAAAAATTAATTTAGGATAACACATATCATTTTCAAAATAGTTGCAATAAAAAAAGTTTACTTCTATCATCGTAAGTTTTCTGAGAACCATTTTTATGTACTTTATATTTCATATGATATTTTGTAGTTAATTGTCCCCACCACTAGCCTCTCAGTTTGCTGTAAAGTGGTTACTTGTGAATTGTTGCTAACCTGGAAGCTGTACCACAAGTTTTTAAGTATCAGCAGGGTGTCACCCATAGTGGACAGATTTCAGAGATTTTTTTCAAACTAGACTCTAGGCAGAAGTTGAGGCCAACCGCTTGTGAAAGATTAACTACTGAAAACCTTATGAATAGCTGAATATTCTCAAAATAGTGCCAGAATTGAGTCCTCTAGGTTGGAAGGCACTCAAAATGCAACTGAGGAAAGAACTGCCTACTCAAAGTATGATTGACCTTAATGAGGTGAATGGAGCAAAGCTTTTGAGAGCTTCATTTGCTCATGAGGTACAACTAAAAATGAGAAGACAATACTGCAAACATCCATTAATATTCAGTATGTAGAATGTATGAGGTATAGATCTAGGAAAATCAGAAGTCATCAAAATTAAAACAGAACACATAAATATGAATATCTTAGGCATTAGCAAGCATAAATAGACTTACACTGGCTATTCTGAATTGGACAATCTTCTAATTTACTATGCCAGGAAAGACAAATTAAAGAGGAATAATGGTGCATTCATCATCAAATAGAGCATTTCAAGATCTACCATGAAGCACAATGTTACACAATAATATCCACATGCTAATCTACTATTCAAGTGAATCAGCTAATACTACTCTTCAAATGTAAGCACCAACATTCAGTGATGGTGAATTTGAAGAATTCTACCAAATTCTTTAGTATGAAATTGATAAAGCATGCAATCAAGAAGCAATAATGATTATTGGTGATTGGAATGTGAAAGCTAGAAAAACAGTAGAAGAATCCATAGTGGTGACAAAACAACACTGAAGAAAGTATGATAGAATTTTGCAAGACGAATACTTATTCGTTGCAAATACGATATACTTACTTAAAACCAAAGATTACAGCCTTCGGTTTAGACTGCACATCAATGTAAAAAAAAAAAAAAAAATTATCTCAGCTAGACCATTAAATAACATCATGATAGGGAAAAAAGAGACCGAAGCTGTCAAAGACTTAAATTTTCTTGGCTCCACAATCAACACTCATGAAAACAGCAGTCAAGAAATCAAATGACATATTGGACTAGGCAAATCTGCTACAAAAGACCTCTTTAAAGCGTTAAAGAGCAAAGATGTCACTTTGAGGGACTGAAGTGCACCTGACCCAACTCATGGTTATTTTCAATTGTCTTATATATGTGTTTGAACACAACAGGGAACACCGAATGGTTTAAAATTAGAAAAAGTGTGTGACAAGGTTGTATTCTTTCACCATACTTATTCAATCTGTATGTATGCTGAGCAAATAATTCAAGAAGCTGGATTACATGAAGAAAAACATGGCATCAGGATTGGAGGAAGACTCATTAACAACCTGTACTATGCAGATGATATAACCTTGCTTGCTGAAGTGAAGAAGACTTAAAACATTTACTGATCAAAGAGACAGTCTTCAATATGGGTTGCATCTCAATGTAAAGAAAAGAAAAATTCTCTCCACTGGACCAAATAAACAACATCCATATAAATGGAGAAAAAAATGAAGTTGTCAAAGACTTAATTTTCCTTAGACCAACCATCAACACTCATGGAAGCAGCAGTCAAGAAATCAAATGACATATTGCATTAGGCAAATCTGCTGCACAAGACTTCCTTAAAGTGTTGAAAAGCAAAGATGAACAAAGATGTCAGTTTGAGGACTAAGGTGCACCTGACTCAAACACCATGGTATTTTCAATAACCTCATATGCATGCAAAAGTTGGACAGTGGAAGACCATAGAAAAATTGATGTTATTGAGTTATGGTGTTGGAGGAGAATATTAAAAGTGCCAGGGACTGCCAAAGGAACAAATAGTGTTGGATGTAATACACAGCCAGAGTGCTCCTTGGAAGCCAGGATGGTCAAACTTTGTCTCTCATACTTTAGAAATATTATCAGGAGAGACCAGTCACTGGAGAAGGTTATCATGTTTGATGAAGTGCAAGGTTGGAGAAAAAGAGGAAGATCCCCAACAAGATGGATTGCCACAGTGACAGCAGCAATGGGCTCAAGCATAGTAACATTGTGAGACTGGCCCAGAACTAGGCAGTGGTTCATTCTGTTGTGCATAGGGTGGCTACAAGTCAGTACTGACTCGACGACACCTAACAACTAACAACAACAACAACATATGCATGTGAAAGTTGAACAGTGAATAAAGAAGGCTGTAGATGAATCGAGGCATTTCAATTATGGTGTTGGTGAATACTGAAGTACTATGGACTGGCAGAATAAATAAATCTGTCTTGGAAGAAGCTCTGCCAGAGTGCTCTTTAGACATCAGGATGAAGAGACTTCCTCTCTCATACTTTGAACATGTTGTCAGGAGGATCAGTCCCTGGAAGACATCATGTTTGGTAAAGTGGAGAGCCAGTGAAAAAGGAAGACCACCAATGACATGGGCTGACACAGTGGAAGTAACAATTGTCTCCAATGTTACAACAATTGTGAGGATAGTACCAGACTGTTATGCATAGGGTTACTATGAGTTGGAACTAACAGCAATCAATTATCCAACATCATCTTTGGTTTTGAAATAATAAATTAACTAGCTGCTAAAACACCTATCATCTTTATTCACTTCATAAGTGTCTGAATATCAAAAATGTTTTTGGTTGTTTTGCTCTATGTCAGGAAGATAAGCCATCAAGTCTTAAGTCTACCCTGCAAAACATATATTCATATGTGTTTTGTTATTGTTGTGTGCCGTCAAGTCGGTTCCAACCCATAGTAACCCTGTATAGGGTTTCCGAGGAGCAGCTGGTGAGCTTGAACCACTGACCTTGCAGTTCAAATGGCTTTGCAGTCTGGCGCATTAACCCACAGCGTCACACCAAAAGACCCAGTGGTAGGATAGTTGAGTATTAAGGAAAGTTGCTGATTAAAAGGAATAGCGTTTGTCTGACTCTATTAAGAAGACTAGGGTGCTAACTAGAATATTACTCCTTAGGCAAATTAGTCATATATATACAATCCAAATTTTATCTAAAGTGAGAAACAGATGCATCAACAATGTCAAACAGCAGGTGTAATATTCTGAAGAAGTAAACAGAAATTATATAAAAATGAGCATATATAAAAAGGTCATTTTTTTTTTCTTTCCAATATGTGGCTACATCTTTACAGCAGACAATGCTTAGAGCACTACTTAGACAGAAGTACACTCAGCTCACTTTCACACAACTTGGCAAGCATGTGCCACATATACCAGGTAGTATGACATTCTAACTTTAAATGTTATTTTATAAGCTGTAGACATCACAAAAAGTTATTTATCTGAGCTCTGATCCTTTAGTAGAGACACAATTCTCTTTCTTAAAAGAAAACTGAATGTACTTTTTGTGACAATGATGATATAATATCTTTTTATTTAAAAAGTAGAGACTACCTTGAGAATGGAGTCCTCATGCAGCACTGTGAGTTAATGCACGGGACTGCAAAGTTGGTTTGAACTGCAAGGTTGGTGGTTCAAGCTCACCAGCTACGCCTTGAAAACCCTATAAAGGGGCCCCTATGAACTGGAATTGACTCAATGGCACTTAATAAGAACAACATTCTTAAGAATGAATGCTGGTGGCACTGTAGGATAAACATTGGATAGCCCACCACAAGGTCAACAGTTCAAACTCACCAGTTGCTCTGTGGGAAAAGATAAGACTTTCTGCTTCAATAAAGATACCCAGCCTTGGAAACCCTACAAAGGGTTGTTATAAGTCAGAACCAACCTGATGACACTTGGTGCTATAGGATCAGCACTAGACTGAGAACCACAAAGTCTGCAGTTCCAACCCAATAGCTGCTTCTCGGAAATTCTATACAGGGTGGCTGTGAGCCAGAACTTAACGGAACTTAACAACAACAACCTTCAGAAGGAAATTTGAGTAAATCTTAAAAGAGAATTTTAAACTTATGAAGTTAACAGGACTTGAAACACAGGACTAAAAATATATTAGCTTTCTTGAAAAACACACGGTAGATTTTAAACTAGCAAAAATCTGTTTGAATGAGAAGAAGGACAAGGTACACATTAGGGCTTTGTTATTGTGTGCCATCCAATTGGTTCCAACTCATAGTGACCCTGAAGAGGGTTTCCAAAGAGCAACTGAATTTGAACTATCAACCTTGTGGTTAGCAGTATAGTCCTTATTCTACAGTGATAAGCACCATGGATCCAAATTAGGACTGGCCTACCCAAAAAGGAAAAGGAAAAACTGAGCAATAGATAAAATTGAAAACAGAAAAATAAGAGAATCCAACAAAACCAGAATGGATTCTTTAAAAAGATCATTGAAACTGACAAACCTTTTAACTTGACCAGGGGTGGGGAACCTCTGGCCCTTGAGCCTAAAACATTTGGTCTGGCCCTGCCAAGGAAACTGCAGTTAAATACTTAACCAAATATAGCAGGCTAATTTTTAAGTTGATAATTTTGTATGGCATGCAAATAATGTGATATGCAAATGGCCCTTGGCAGAAAAAAAGTTCCCCACCTCTGAACTAGATGGGCAAAGTAAAAAGAGAAAAGATGCAAATAACCCAAAAAGGAAAAGAGGAGACATTACAACTGACCCGATCGAAGTAAAGAGAATTATAACAGAATACTAACAGCTACACAGCAATAAACTGAATAAGCTAAATGAAATGAACAAATTCTTAGAAGTACACAAATTCTTAAAAGTACCAATACTGATTCAAGAGGAAATACAAAAATCTACAGATCTGTAACAAGGGAAGATACTCAATCAGTGATCAAAAACCTCCCAACAACAAAAAAGTCCTGGACCAGATGGCTTCACCAGGGAATTCTACCAAACAATTAGAGAACTGACATGAATTCTATTTCAATTCTTTCAAAAGGAAGAGAAGTAAGGAATGTTCTCTAATTCAGTCTATGAAACAAACATATGCCTGACAAACAAATCAAAGGCACCACAAAAAAGGAAAGTAGAAACGAATATCCCTCAGGAATATAGATACAAAAAATCCTAGCAAAGTACTACCTAACAGAATCTAATATTGAAAGTCA